CTTCAGTTAAACAAGGAGAAAACTGAAGTCATTGCATTTGGAAACAAAGATGAAGTTCTCAAGGTGAATGCATACCTTGACTCATTTTAAATCAATTTCTAAATCATTTTAAAAGTTTTTAAGTTTTATTGTTGTGATTTTTTATCATTATTTTACTTCCTTTTATGTAAAGCACTTTGAATTACCATTGTGTATGAAATGTGCTATATAAATAAACTTGCCTTGCCTTGCCTAATGGAATACCTGCTGAATTTCTTTAAAAAATAACCCCAAATATAAACAGTAGGGTATGTGCTTTAAAACACAGAGGATGTGATATAAAGGAATTGTAAAGGGTGTCCTTACTTCCCAGTGGAGATGGGGGAGCGTGTCACCCGATATGTTTTGAGTGGCGGGCCGTCTCCGGCAACCACCTCTTGGACATCCAGTACAGACAGGGGAACGTCAGGAGCCACAGTAGTGAGAGTCTGCTCACCGGACGTAGGAACAGAGGCTTCTACTAGATGGGAGGTGGAAAAATAAACCTCATTCAAACAATTTTTCAAGTGTTACTTTTCTGAAATATGCTACAATAACCTGCTTTGTAAGTCATACCCCTAAAATTCCCACCTCACCTTGACTAGAATCAGCTGTTCCCCTCGGTGCAGGTTTCTGTGTTTTTGTTCGTCGTGGCCTGCCTTGTTTTCTGGTTGGCTCTGGTGGGGTGGGGGCAATGTTGGCTGTGTTGTTTTGGGATACCGCCTCTGTAACCTGCTGGACAGATGGGTCTGCGGCAGGCGCGGGGGTTTGGCAAAGCAGCTGGTCCGGGACAGGAAGGGTCCCTGTTGGTGACCCCTTTGCTGGAGGGACTCCAGGTTTGTTGGACACCATTTCTGAAGACACAAAGGATGAATTACTTCATCCAACAGAGCTATACTTCACATTGTACAGACTTTAAAGCACACATACCTGGTGGAGGTGGAAGTACAGGCGGCCTAAGAATAGGCCGATCCATTTTTTTGGCATAAAAAGCTCCATACCAGACTCTAAGCTCTGTTCCGGGCAGGACATCCTGGGATGGAGCAAATGAGAGAACAATCAAAGTAAAATGAGCATTTGAAGTTTAATAACACACCATAATAAACTAAGCTGTTTATTATTTATCTGTAACCATCCTCACTATACAATCACAGTGCTATGAATGGTACAGAAGTGACAGAAGTGTGGCATCAATTCACCTGTGATGTATTGAAGTAAACATCATCATCTTGCTGGTATGCCGTCAGATTCTGGTGTTTGTGGTCTGTGGCGGGCCGAACCAACATCATCCAGTTACAGTCGTCTTCATTGGATGTGTCAAAGCACACCACTGAGACATCCTTTTGAAATATCTAAGATAAACAATAGAGAAAACATTAATCATAGGCCCATTTGGATAGGAGTGGCATATTGACGGTCTGTTGTTTACCTTTAAAGGAAATGCCCCCTCAATTTGAAGGCTTGGAACCCTCTTGGCCTCAAACGGGCCAAATCGAGTCCTCTTAACCAGCCGACTAAGCACAAATACACCTTCTTTGCCCTCCTCAGCCGACCTGATCTCCAAGCTGTCTGGTAAAGACGACCTGGAACATGGACAATGATGATGTTAAAATTTAAAATTAAATGATATTAAAATTAAAGGTTAATATATAATATTAAGTTAATTTATAATATATATCTATATATATAATATATATCTATATAAAATGAAAAAAAAAATAAAAAATTCAGCAGGGAAGCATTAAATTGACCAAAAGTGACAATAAAAACTTATATACTGTTACAAAAATATTCTGTTTTAAATAAATACTGTTCCTTTCAATTTTTTTCCTGAAAGAAAAAAAAAAAAAAGTTTCATGGTTCCCACAAAAATATTAAGCAGCACAACTTTTTAACATTGATGATATTGAGAAATGTTTTTTGATCACCAAATTAGAATATTAGAATGATTTCTAAAGGATCATGTGACACTGAAGACTGAAGTAATGGCTGCTGAAAATGTAGCTTTAAATTTATAGGAATAAATGACATTTTAAAAAACAGAAAACAGTTATTTTAAATGTTAATAATATTTCACAATATTACTTTTTAAAAACTGACTTTATATACTGTATTTGTCATAATAAAACACTGGTAATAAACACAAGACAGAGTGAATATCTGGCACATATGGTCATCTAATTGCGGTCAGTGCGCTCAAGGAGTGCCAAGACCCTCTCTGAATGTATCTGGCCAAAAGCCACTCATGTCTGCTCACCGTGCCCGACTCAGAACAAATGAGTCCTTCACCGTGACAACAGGCCCCAGCTCAGGACACTCAGAGTCATGGTACTGCCTGCAGTCCTCACACCCTGCAGGAAGAACAGTCACATGCACATATTACGCCATGTTCTTTAATAAAACAAGGACACCGCAAAAAAAGCTTGACAGTGGTAATGAGGATACAATATTATCATTCTTTTGCTTGGTTGGAACAGCAGCTACGCTAATTTTGTCTCCATTTGCTTCTCTGTTTCTGCCATGGGACTTGCATCCCAAGGCAACTAGGAATTACACAAGTTTCAGTCTGGATCCAACCCTTACGAAGATCTGAGATGACCGAACACCTGAGAAGAGATGATGCCAACCCCTCAGAAGACCTCAGATGATGGAACAACATAAAACTACCAAATTTTGCTTAATCGCAACGTTTAATCGCAATCGCAATGTTTAATCGCAACATATAATCATTGCTGTTAATTGTGTTCACCGTCTGTTTGATAACCTGTAATTTGTAACTAACTGCATGATTCTTACTGTACATTTCTGCCATAGTCACCACTAATAACCTACTCCTAAATATAATGTAGAAACTTAACATTTTCTGTAAAGCTGCTTTGCAACGATTTGTATCGTGAAAAGCGCTATACAAATAAACTTGAATTGAATATTGCACTATTACAATAATGTTGCATGCATATTCATAAACACGTGAGATTATAGTTGCATACTTACAAATAAACTCATCTGGTGTCTGCTCTGCCATTCTGACACCCTAGAGATGATGCATAAAATATGTACATTAGTTTTAACTCCTGTGACAATTTTATCATTTTGTGGCATGGTGTCCTTATGAACATTTTGCTAATTACAGAATAGCATTTAATATATTTTTTTATTAATTAACCATTCAATGTAGATTAGTACAGTAATTACATTACTGTAAAACATTACATATTCAAATAATACAGACTTGCATTCATGTTGACTTGACACATTTTTTAAAAATGTGAAACTATTTTCTACAATAATTTGGATTTACTATCTCACGACTTTAAAAAATACCTGGTAGTGTAACCATTCAGTAATGACTAAATTACTTCTTAAATATGTAATAATAAAAGACTGCGTCAAACAACTTATGCTAACATTTACTTTTTAAAGAAACAAGACTTTTAAAACAGTTTTACCATTGCACAACATAAACATTTTTACTTTAAGTATTAAAATGACACCACGTAAGGTTTATTGAAGTCATTTTTGGTATGAACTGGATTCTCAATGTATCTTTGAATATAACTTCATAAATATGGACTAATATGCACATGTCTAGTAAGAATAAAGAGAAGATTATATCATCATTATACGTTATAAAATTGTAAGTCCTTAAGGTCTTAATGCAAACATACTGTGATAACACATAAATGTATTTTCCCATTATAACTTTGTATTCATTGCATTGCTGTCAGTCAGCAGAGCCCATTACACAGTACAACAGATTTTGTTGAAGCTCCCAAGATCAACAATCGTAACAAATGACGCTCTTTATCAACGCAGAACAGGGAGCAGTCCGCGCATGAAACGCCTGTAAGCAGCCAGGGAAAGACTACAATACGGACAGAATCCGTGATTTGGGAAGATTTCAAACTGTAGCCAGGTTTTAACTCCGATCTCAGGCTGCGCTCGCTCTCTTTCAGCAATGCAAATGTAACAAAGAACAATCGGCATGGCGGATGGAATGGAGACGCAGCGCTCATCTGGAGCCAGAGCGTTTGAAAGCGCAAAGCTCGAGAAACTGGCTCCGCCTAACACTTTTCATGGCTACTGCACCTGTGAATGAGGAGCAGTTGGGTATTTCGTTCAATGCGTTTGAATAGAAATCCCTAACAAGTTTAGCATAAAGTCATTACCTGTTCCCCAAACGTCTACACATTTAGTGAATCCTGACTCCGGGTTCCAATCCGCTCCAGAAACCGCGCAGGACCGGAAATAAGACCCGCGAAGGGTATTATGGGAAGTGTAGTTTTTCCACAAACGCCATACCCTGTGAGATTTTTAGTAAATATTTCAGCCGATTAATTCGATTATGCAAATGCTTTCATGCAAATACAAAACGTCTTAATTTAGAAAGCCACAAAACTGCAAAAAGCTATCACAGGAATGCTCAGTCAGTGTTTATTGCTCAAACTATTAAAGATAAACACAATTCCTGCAAAGCACAGGCTGACATTCATGATGTACAGACATCAACGTCTTTGTCACTTTCTCATAATAGTTGTTCAGTCATGGAGTCAATTTGTAGGCTAACTGGGAAGGTAATTATTGGGTTTAAAGAGTGCTTCATAAACTAACATCCTTGTGGTAGTTGTAGTTATTATTTAGCAACACACTAGCCATGTATGTTTTTAAAACGCACAGCACAGTAGTATGTCAGTCTGTATTTTATGTTATAAAACAAAACTATTTCCTTCAAGTAATGACAGACTTTATTTTACTCATAAATCGCAAACCACCACTCTTAAAAGCTAATAGAGAATTCTAGAGGCTTTTAAGACTTCAAACTGAACATCAGTAAGTTCTTTCTTCACAGGCCATACATAAGTGATTTTAATATTGCAGGTAAATGTGTTTTGGCGAGCATACAAATATAACTCACAACAACAATTTCCAAGGTCCTTCTAGTTAAAGAGGCCAACAAGAATTCAAGAGAAAGCACAGAGGAGTTAAGTTAATGAGAGGAGTTCTTTAATACACATGGATATATTATGATGATATGCATATACAGAGGATTGATGTGTTAGATTTCATTTAGCGACTGGATCACCTCTGGCCGGCCAATCAAGCATGACAAAAATAAAATCTTCATGTGCCTCCTTCCATTTCACTGGAAAATACCTCTTTCATTTTGTGACAGCCAGGATGTACATAGCAACACACAACATAGACAAAAGTGAAAAAAACAAAAAACACAGAACAGTAGTCCTCCCAAAATACATATTTAACAGCCAGACTGCTGAGGTTTCTTTCTGGCAACATTCAGTATGGACAGGCATTCAGGTTTCTTCTACATATGCAGTTTGAGGTCAAGTAAATGTCAAGCGGAGCCTGTTATTTAATCTCCCATAATACAAATCCACTGCAGTTCTCCACACAGGCTCAACAGATGAGGTCCAAAATACAAACTTGTTATCATTCACAGCCGGCTTAAGAGTACAGGTAAAAGAAGACTGCACACTTGGGAAAATCTCATAAATCATGAACTTATTGATAAACTAAATTCTCATGCAGTCTGGTCTTTCTCTATGGGAAAATGCCCTTGCTTAGTGTTAAAAACCTTTGGTACAATTCACAATTTCAGCTGGCTTAAGAGTACAGGTAAAAGAAGACTGCACACTTGGGAAAATCTCATAAATCATGAACTTATTGATTAGCTAAATTCTCATGCAGTCTGGTCTTTCTCTATGGGAAAATGCCCTTGCTTAGTGTTAAAAACCTTTGGTACAATTCACACACAATTTTTGAAAATTTTTTTTATGTGAGGCATGATGGAATAACTGTGGAAAAAAAGTGAACAATCAAACATGCTTACACATAATTACACATTACACTGAATAATGTGTACTTAAAAGGATAATATTTAAAATAAAATAACCTTTTATTGATATTTTCCCATCTCTGTTTGAATATTTAGAAATTAAAAGATGAATAAAAAACCAAACCTGTTTTAAAAGCAAACATATCAGTGCCAAACCAGAACATTTTAAATGGTATGCTCCGTTTGAAAATGTTTCGCTGAACAATAAAACTCACTATTCCCAGAGTCAAATTTGGTGAAACTGCAGATTTTTCTCCCTAACAAAATGAAAACTCCCATATTCAATTCACATCAAAAACAGAGGTCTTTCACATAATTTTTGTTTTTTTAATAAACTAATTCAGAGCATCTTCACCACCAAACCTCACAGAATTCACTGCACATCCCTGCAAATGCATTTGGAATGAGTTCGGAGCATATAAACAAGTGCAAATCAATATGCTGGATATCAATGTCTGATATTCCAGGATCCATCAGGTCGCCAGAGGGTTTCCAGAAGGTTAAAGCTCAGGTAGATAGCAAGAAAGAGTTGTCCTCAAATCCCGCTTTGGTTAGAAGGCCACAAACGCAGAATATATTTTGCATGACGATCAATATTTGCATAAGGTTAAATGACACAGAGTCATTTGGAGCGACGAAGAGAGCGAGTGCTCATTTCAATGCTGTATGGTGTCGACGGAGGGAAAAGTGCCCATGACATTCCTCCACATGGATGGAGAGATAAATCTAGCGCCAGGCAGACGGTCTTCATGGAGCAGAACCAAGCTGAGAGGTCTGAATAATGGAATAGGTTTTCAGGGAATCTGGATCATGGTGTTAATATGGAGTTGATGAGAGTGATTGTTGCTATGCAGAGGTTTTGGCAAATATGGCCCAGAAACAAGCAACGACTTGCATAAAAGTTATGAGAATGAATGTGAAAAGGAGGATGTTAGAAAGATTAAGAGGTGCAAAAGCTATTATCTTTGATGAAGGCGACGGAGTGGGCAGCTCATGTGGGTGGTTCTCTCACTGTGCCGTTGGTTTTGCTCTTGCTCCTGGGCAGAAGCTTGCGGTTGATGATGCGCCTGAAGGTGGCCGTCCTCTTTTCCCTGTCGCCCATCATGGCCGCCTCGGGATGCTCCAAGTACTGCAGGTCATTGTGGGACTGGCTCATCCCCGGCTCCTTTCGCTGATGTCGCCGTCTGAAGAATAGCTTGGCACCCTTGTGCAGGAAGCTGCCTACAGGGGGCGCCAAACAGAGATGAAAACAATCAGACAAGTTCCCCAACACACAGTACTTCACTGAGCCAACCTGGAGGTCAAACTCCACACTCAGATCAACTGTGAAATTAGGAATCAAATATTCTTTCGATTTTGTTGACCTCCATGAAGACACAGCGGATATGTAGGAATTCTGACGTAAACTGAATATGCTTGTATCAGTGTGTCTTTTTCAGCTCTGAAAGATGCTACTACAATACACTGGTGGCATCAAATGTAAATTAGCTGAAAGAACACAAGCACACTACTAAAATAAAGTACGCAAACGTATTCGAAAGTGCTTGGTTTTAGAATTAAAGCAGTATAAACCAGTCCACACCAGCTCAGAAGTTTCTGTTTTTTTAAAGCTGTTTGGGCAAGTTATCAGCCAAACATCTCAATGGGCCAACAATGAAAAGGTTCAACAGCACAAAACTAAAAGGGATGCCTCCAAAGATTTGAGATGCTAAACGGCATGTCAAATCTTTCTCCATGTCCAAAAGTTAAGTCTGAAACCACATGTTATTTAAATACAGGATAATAACTTTTATTACTAAGCTTATTATTGTGATGGAAGTGTGAATAAAATGCTGGAGCATGGACTGGTTTTTACTAAAGGGTTTGTTAACCATTTCACAGGGAAGTCTACATACTTTTACTATTATAGACTTCTCAAGAGGTCACTTACTCTTCCAGCAATAAAGTCTGGTTAGCACAGGTTTCCACTTTAAGATGGCAAAGAAAGAAAAAAACAAAGTGATAAGGGAGAGGTACAGAGGACAAAAAAAGGAAGTGGATGTCATCAAATGTCAGAAGTACAGACAGAAAGACACTAGACAGTGCTGTAACGTTCATATTAGACAAACAAAGGTAAGGCAGAATTTTGTAACTCCGTGTTAGCTGTGGCACCCCAATAATAGACTCAATTTTGAGAGAGATTATCACTAAGAACTCCTTCACTCTTCTCTCAAAGGTTGTTCACAAAGCATCTCAAGTGACAGAATAAACAACTACTTAAACCAAGTTTGTAGAAATTAGCATTAAATTGATAAAAAGTGACAATAAAGACACTTTCATGCTGTTCTTTTCACTGAATGTATCAATTTCCACAAAAATATTATGTTGCACAAAATATTGATAATAATAAATGTTTCTCGAACACTATATCAGCATATTAGATGATTTCTGAAGGATCATGTGACACTGAAGGCTGGAGTAACGGCAAAACTGAGCCATGACATATTGTATTTTTGATCAAACAAATGCAGCCTTGGTGAACATAAGACGTGCTTTTCAAAAATTCCTAATCCAAAATGTTTGAATGGCAATGTTAATGCAGACCATTGACCTTGTTTTTCACATGAAGTCCTGTGATCACATTTATAACTCCAGTAAATCGCTTTATGTAGTTTGAAGATGTAAAGAGGTTAAATACAAACTCAAAACCTTACTCAGCATAATCTAAATGTTGTTGATGTTCATTCACAGAAAGCTCAAAGTTCATCCCTCACCTTTTCCTTTTTTGGAACCCGTTTCAGAGATACAGAGAGATGTTTTATCCGCATCTGGGTCCTCTCCAGCCTGGCTCTCCCAGTCCTCCACATGGTCTGTGCCATTCGCACCCACCAGAGATTCTGTGGGTTCAAGAACGCTGGGTTCTACCACTGTTTCTGAGGGTAATGCTTCGCTGCTGGTGCCCTCAGATGCTCCGGACATTGAAGCGTCCATCGCAGCTGCGTATCCTGCCATCAGAGCCATCTCCTCATCCTGTGTCAGAGGGGCCTAGAGAGGAGGTTAATAGTAAAGCCTTAATTAGAAACCGATAATTGAAGAACTTGTTTTGTGATGTAACATTGTGATTATGACAGGTACCTCTAACTACCGGTAGATACAACATAAATGAATTCTGTTTGAGACAGATAATATCTGTTTGATAATTTTGTATGAATAAATTAAAAATGCCAAACTACAAACATTATTTTAAGCCTTAGGAAATGCTTGCTGATTTTTATTTTTGTGTGAATTCTTGGGTTGACAATCTTGACTAAGGTTTTGAAGGTTTCAAATTCTGAAAGAAAAAAAATTAACTGTCTAATACCAAAAAGCTGTTAATTTTGTACATTTTGTATAAATAAATCAAAATCAGTTGTTGTAAATTCTACAAGTGACAATGGGCATCACAACATTATCATTTAAAATAAATCATGCAGCATATCTAAAAAGATTGGAAGTTGTCCCAAAAGTTAAGTCTTGCAGATTTTTTTTATTTTGTGTGAATCCTGGCTTGATAATCTTAACCAAGGTTTTGAAGTTTTCCAATTTTTAAAGAAAAAAAAATCTGTCTGACACAAACAAGCTGATTAAAATGTTGCACTATTTTGTATAAATAAATGAAAATTCTTTTTTTTTAATGATACAAGTGAATGAATAAGTGAATGAATATAATAACTGAATATTTACCAATTATATCATTTAACAACTGTTATTAGTGTTTTAAAATTAACTAAGTAAAAGTAATCTAAATGTAAAAATCAGCCAAGCACACACTATTAAATATACAATAACTGATATTGTACCAATATATTGTACATGCCAACTAAATATGTATATGTGGTTTACAGAGTTGTCTTTTTCTCTACCTTGGCCACTCCTGAGATGATGATGGTGCTCTTTTTGACAGGTGATTTGAGCTTTTGTTTTGCCGACTCATGGAGCTGTCTGATGGCAGCTTCGGCGACAGGGTCGGTCCCGTTTAACATCAATAACTCTGTGCAGGAAAACGAGTGAAAAAGAGTTTTAAAAATGCTGAATGTAACCATTACTAATGTGGCATTTTGAATGTACACTTGCTCCAGGACTGCTGACGAGCACTTGCGGTATAGAAAGTGGAAATAAAGGAAATGCATTTAGCCATTTATGCCAACAAGCTTTACTTGAAATCCCACCTGTATCTGACGATGACAGGGCTTTGCTAACTTTGGCTCCGAGTAGTGACGTCTGCTCCGACACCCTTCTCTCTGCCAGCTTGTTTTTAGAAGGCGATTTGGATTCTGTAAGAGGGAGTTTTAAACCAAACATGATATTGTGGTTTAGGAGATGACATGACAACTGTAGCATCTTCATATTAAAGTTGGATTTCAAATACCCAAATAACTTTCAGATTGCATTCTCAACATCTACAACTGAATCAACGGCCAAAGGAAGGTACCAGGTGCTAAAGGTCGTCCTGGCTTGCTCCTCACGGCAGTGACAGTGGTAACAACGGTGCCACAGGGCATCACAGTGCGGTCCATCTCCACTTTTTTAGTAGGGGCCGGCGTGGGCATCTGCCAGCTACGCACCTCGCTGGGCTCCAGGTAGGTGAACTACACAAAAGTTCATTTTTGTGGGTTATGCCAATGGGTTATATACAGGTCTTTCTGTATATTAAGCTAGGACATGGCAATTTAACAAAAAATTAAGCTACTGTACACATGAACTACATTATTACGAAATGCAAATGCAATTAAAATACATAAAGCATCTAATTTCTATGAGATATCTATGAGAATTAATTCTGAAATGTGATAAACATCTAGTTACCTCAGTAGTTAGTGATCCGGTCACTTGATCTTTGGTCATGAGTGAAAACGTCTGTTGACCTTTGGGGTGTTTCTTCACTAGATCAAAAGGCACAGATACCTGCCCTAACAAACCATCTGGGAGGAAAACAGAGAGTGATGCCTGATCAAATCAAAGTAATGTACATTATTTGATCAATGTGTTTGCAAAGGCAGGCAAAAGTGACACCAAGCACACAGACAAACACATTTCACACAAGCTGTTATGAAATCAGGGTGAAAGGCCAATGACATGAAGTAATATAGGCTGTCACGTGTCTGTTAGAAGAGTTCAAGTCAAGATATTATCACAGTATGATTCTATTAGCTCAATAAATCTACCACTTGTACAGCATTTTTGAGGCTATTTCATTATTTAGAGAAACAGATGACCGAAAGTAGATTAAAATTCACAGTTGACCTTCAAGCTTTTGCAAACCCAGATTAATGGATATCACTTTTCTGTTTTTATGCCGTTAAGCTGGTTTATTTTCGGTCATGTGGACTTACTCTCCAGAGGTCTGCCGTTATCCACAACCTGGATGTTCAGCTCTTTTGACCGGCCGCTAAGCTCACTGCAAAAACAGACAAAGACAAGAGATAAAATAAATCATGCAGCATTTCATTTTAAAAGATTAGATGATGCCCCAAAACTGTCAAACTACAAACATTTTATTGTTTAAATCTTAGGAAATGCTGGCTGATTTTATATTTTGTGATTTCTTGAGTTGACAATCTTGATCATGGTTTTGAAATAAACTGCATATAAAATGCTAAAAAATATTCAATATAAAAATTTAAAACACATACAAATAAATAATAATAAAAAAATGTATAAATAATATAAATGTGTTTGTGTGTGTGTGTGTGTATATATATATATATATATGTATACACACACACACACACACACACATTTACATACATACATATACACAACCTAAGGGTTGTTAATTAAAATTATATATTTATTCATTTATGCTACTAGCATAAATGAATAAATATAAATACAGGTTTCCCAGCTAAACAGGTAGTGCTGCCCACCAACATGTGACTGATTCACGTTTTCCACATCATGTCACCCCCTTCTCTCCTAAAATTTTCCTGTCCTACCTCTACTGTACTTTTATATGAAAGCAGCAAATGGGTTAAAAAATAATAATTTAATGGGGATAAATTAAGTTTGCAGGAGCAGCTGAGGAGGGAGCAGATGGAAGTGGACCTGAACTCACAATATGAAGGGCTGGTCCCAGGCAGGGGTGGATGTGTCAGTCAAGACTGAACTGGTGACCTTCTGAGGAGGATCATCCAACTGAAGGATACACTGGGGATTCATGCCACCTGAAACCAGAATACAAACAGTTCTTTACCAAGCACAAGCAATATCCTTCCAAAAGAAGGCCCATTTGCTAATCTACATTGAAATAAAACCAGGTATACAAAAAGATACAAAAAGAAGAGATCTAGGAGTGTTTTCGAGCTAAATAACTGACTAACGCAGAAAACGCTCTTTGCCAAAATGAATTATGCATAAAATGGATGAGATGCCAGTTGTCTCCGTTAAGTGCTTGCTGGGCTGTAATAGTGACTTGGCTGGAGAGCAGTGGGACTATTAGACCACTTCCGGAAATGATTTCCGAACAGAAGGGACATCCTGACTGAGGGAAACATGGCCAGTTAACTGAATAAGTTGTGGGGGGGCGGTGCTTTTTGGGAAGTGTAGCCTGCACTTTGTGCCCACAACAAAATTTCATCCAAATAAATGCCTTGTTTTCTTCGATCCAAGCAATATGAAAACATTAGCTGAGGTCTGTGGTGTGTATGAGCTCCATCTAATAAACAAGACATATGGGATTTCAGAGAATGAGAATCTGTGTGACCATATATTTAGAAATGGCCCATCACAAACAGCTGCCAGTGATTGAAAGATGCATAAAGTGATATTAAAATGCTAAAAACATTTTCACACGCTGAAAAGAAATCTTTATCATCAATACATTTCATTTTCTTGCATATTGCATAAACCTGTCTAAATGACTAGGCTAAATATTAAAGGGGTCATATGATGCGATTTCAAGTTTTCCTTTCTCTTTGGAGTGTTACAAGCTGATTGTGCATA